CAACCTTGGTTGGACAAGACTTGTGTTCCACATTATTTAGTAGCAAACAACTTGTTTCATATCTGTTTTAAACTGAAACAATTTTAAATTTACTATTTAAAAATTTGAAGTACAGCACACATACAGAAAAGGGGAACAAATAAAAATTGTAAATGCAATGAATTTTTTTAAAAAGATTTACTTATTTGAGCTGAGCAGGGAGCCCGATATGGGGCTTGATCCCAGGACCCCAGGATCAAAACATGAGCTGAAAGCAGACACCCAGCTGACTGAGTTGCCCAGGCACCCCGTAAATGTTAACGAATGATCACAAAATGAATACACCTGTGTAACACCACTCGGGTTAAGAAATAAGACACTACCAGAATCTGAGAAGCAGCCCCCTTAACAGCCTCCTAATCACTATTGACCCCTGACACAAAAGTCAGATGATTTTAAGGATAGTTTTAGTTTTTTGACTGTAGTAGTTTGTTGATCTTAATCCCTTGACTAAAACTTAATTAAAAATATCTCTAAGTTTGTTTTCTAAATAAAGTTTGTTATTCTTTGATATTCTAAAGGTGCTGGGCACATGAAGCAATGAACTTTGGCTTTTCAAATTTTTTACAGGAACCCTGATTTATCACTGGCTTATAAGTTGATTCCTAACATTTTTCTACTAACAGTTAAAAGATGTCAACTTCAGGAACGCCTGGGTGGCTCAGTGGGTTAAAGCCTCTGCCTTCAGCTCAGGTCATGATCCCAGGATCCTGGGATTGAGCCCAGCATCGGCTCTCTGCTTGGCAGGGAGCCTGCTCTGCACCGCCCTCACCCGCCCCCCCGCCCCCGCCCTCTGCCTATTTGTGATCACTGTCAAATAAATAAATAAATAAAATCTTTAAAAAATTACAAAAATATTAAAAAATGTCAACTTTATCTTCCTAGTTTGGGAGATAAATTGGTCTACCTGAATCAAGTAGGATTACAAGTTTAACTGAAACGCATTGTACAAAAATAATATGTGTAATAATTGAAAGTACACATAAAATATGTGTAACAATTGAATAATAGGTATCCTAGATCTTTGCTACTCCAAGTGTTGTTTGTGAGTCAGAAGTAACCACCATCACCTGGGAGCTTGTGGAAATGAAATGAATTGTGGAAATACAGAACAACAGGCCCCAGATCTTCTGAATTAAAATCTGCATTATGGTAAGATCCCCAAGTGACCTGTACATATACAGAGGTTTGAGAAAGAAGACCACCCAAGATTTTTCTGGGTTCCTAAGTTCCAACTTTTGTTTGATTTTTTTTTTTTTTCCTCCAAAAAAGTGTGTGCTTTAAGGAAAAGCCAGAGCTGGAGAACGAGGGAAGGGCAAAGACCTTGGTGGTCATACAAAGGTCTGAACTTCCTTCCGGAAAGGCGGAGCCTCCCTTTGGCTGAGGAAGCGCTTTTCCTTTTGTCTGCTCTTCCTTGCCGTGTGCAGAATATTAATACTATCGAATGAATAGAACGAATTAATGCCTCTTTCTCTTGCTTTCCCTCTTACAATTTTTCACTTTCTTAAATTAATGAATTTCTTTTTTTTGGAGACATGTTTTGAGGCTTAGAGTATTTAGTGATTTTTTTTTCTGAAAATTTTTAAAAGTGACATGTGATTTCACATTTGACATCATATAGCAAATTAGACTATCTTCATTTTGCTTTGATTCATGCAATGTTTTAATTTATATTTCCTTGAATAAGTGTTTCTTTTATAATTTTTTTAAGTTAATTTTTTTAAAGTCATCTCTATGCCCAATGTGAGGCTGCAGCTCATGACCCCTAGATCAAGAGTCTCATGTTCTTCTAAGCCAGGTGCCCCAGGATGTTTCTGTGACGTAAACCACCTGACAATAAAAATCAGTTTCTAATGTTTACCCTAAAACTCCCTATTTAATTGAATGTTCTTTCAAATTAAATCAGATTCTCCAGAGACATCGATTACTTTAGAGGGCAATGCTTACCCCTGGGGAAATAATAATGATATTGATCCAAACAGGATTAAATTATCTCTCCACTTAGAGAAAGTGAGAGGGAAAACAAAGGAAAGCTTTCTTTAAATAATGTAACCTATTAACGTAGAAAGAATAAGAACATCACCATTTTTTAAGCTCAAGCTGATTTGGGCAAAGCAAGAGTCATTAATTGATGTTAAATCGATAAGATGAAAGGGCACTGGGTACATTCATTACATACAATTTGGTGTAACAAATTACCCTCAAATTTGCAGCAAAAATAATTAATTTACTCAATTTCTATCTTAGAGTCAGGTATCCAGAGCGGCTAGTGATGTGCCTCTGGCTCAAGGGCTCTCTTGTGCAATTACAGTTAAGCTGTTGACCAGAACCGCCATCGTTGTCAGGTCACCACTAGGGTTGAATGATCGGCTTGCAAGCTCACACCTGTGCTAGCTGACTGACCTTAGTTCCTTGAAAACTGTCAGAACAAGGGTTCCAGTTTAGTCACACAATGTGGGCCGTTCCACCGAGCTGCTCCCATCATCTAGCTTCTACCAGTGTTGTTAAGAGAAGGAAGTTAAGTTTTAACAAGATGCCTGCAGGCCAGCAAAGTGGGAGGCAAGGCTAGCCTTGGTGGGGGTGGAGGGGATGCGGGGTGGGGGGGGGCAGGGGACAATTAGAAACCTGTTAGCTTTCCAAAACAAAGCCACAGGAAGCTGGATCAAACCAGACAGGCCCAAGACAAAGGCCAGAAACCCTGACCAAGTAAGGGAGAAAGGCAGGAAAACCTGCTCCTCCCCCCACAAATCCCCTCCCCAAGTAATAAATATTCCACCAGCTTCCTCTGAGCTCACCTGCTCTCACATCTTGAGAGTGTACTCTCACTTTAATAAACTTTCTTACTTGCTGCACTGCTCAACTGTTGTGTCTGGTCTGTCCTTGAATTCGCTCTTGTGATGAGACCAAGAGCCTCCTCTGACAACTCGGAGACAGGTTGGATGGATGTCTCAGGGCCTGGGGGTCTCCCCAGTCCACCCAGCAATGGTGTGAGTGGCCAGAAAGAGAGGCAGAGCCAGAGGCAAGTCTTTTTATAACCTAATATTGGAAGTGAGAGTCCTACCCCTTCTATCACATTGTATTAGAAGATAGTCAACTAATCCAGCTCCTGTTCAAGGGGAGCAGATTACACAGGTGCATGAATGCCAAGAATGAGATCACTGGGGTCATCTGAGAAGCTGCCTAGCACTATGAGGAATCAAATGTTGATATAATGCCAAAGTATTACCCCACAGATTACCTACTAATTATTATAAAGAACATGTACCATTTTAATGGAGTGATTTGACAGTTTCCAAACTCAGCATTACTAATAGTGGAACTTCCTGATATGATACAATATGTGTTTCACATTACCCAGGAAGGAGTCTTGCAAAATATGTTAACTGAATTAATTTTTAGATTTAATATTACTTTACAGTACATTGAATGGATGAATAAAAGTTACCAATACCTTGAGGAAGCAGTCAGACAAATGTGAATGTAGGTCATTCTATAAAACAACTTTGTGGGACTCTTCAAAATGTCAACATCATGTGGAAAAAAGGTTGAGGGATTAATCCAAACACTAAAGACATACAACCAGATGCAATCTGGGAATCTTGACTGGATCCTGGATTGTACAAAACTTAACAAGCAAAAACGCTAAAAAGACATTTTGGGGATAACTGAAGAAATTTTAATATGTGATAGATCATATTATATAATTATTATTTATTATTATACAATTAAGTATAATAATGAGAGTTATGATTTTGTAGGAGAATGTCCTTATTCTTAGGATATGCTGAAATATTTTGGTGTGGTGTTACAAGGTCTGCAACTAACTTTTACATGGTCCAATAACCACCACAGGTATGTGTGTGTATACACAGAGGGCAAAAAAATACAACTATAGCAAAATGGTAATAGTAGAACTCTAGAGTGTATACTGTTCATTGAACAATTTCCTTCTTTTGGGTTTTTTGTGGGTTTTTTTTGGCTCTATTTCCTTTTTTTTGCTTTTGCTTTTTCAAATTTTTATTTAAATTCTAGTTAGTTAACACACCATGTGATACTGGTTTCGGAAGAAGAATTCATCACTTACATTCAGCACCCAGTGCTCATCAGAAGTGCCCTCCTTAATGTGCATCCCTCACCCACCTCCCTCCATCAACCCTCAGAATGTTCTCTTTTGTTAAGAGACTCTTATGGTTTGTTTCCCTCTCTCTTCCCACTCCTTATCCCCTGCTCCCATATGTTCATCTGTTTTGTTTCTTAAATTCCACATGTGAGTGAGATCACATGATATTTATCTTTCTCTGATTTACTTCGCTTAGCATAACACACTCTAGCTCCATCTACGTCCTTGCTAATGGCAGGATTTCATCCTTTCTGATGGCTGAGTGATATTCCATCGTAGATATTACCACATCTTCTTTATCAATTCTTTGAACTCTTTCCATAGTTTGGCTATTGTTGATAATGTTACTATAAACACTGGAGGGCATGTACCCTTTTGAATCTGTATTTTTGTATCCTCTGGGTAAATACCCAGCAGTTCATTGCACTATTTCTTAAAAATTATTTTAAAAACTTCTTCCAGGTGCTCTCAAAGTAAGAATTGGGGGGAAAAACTATGACTTCAATGTTTACCTCCTGATTCCACTGGCCTTAGAATTCTATTTTAGCTAATCTTTCCTGGGCACATAATTTTCTTCTGAAGAATGTCCAAAATAATAACCCCTTTCTTTTTGACTCAAGAAACTTCCAGAGAACAAGTACTAAATACATCACATCACTTGGTATTAGAGTTGGTGGCTTCTATTTTGGCTCTGTCACTCAACTGAAAGCTCTATGAGGTCAGGACTGGGCTCTATGGACATCACGGCACAGAACCAGGCATAGGGAATTACTCACGTTGTACTCCATCTGTAGATACTCCGAAGTTAAGCCAAAGAAAAACAAGAAAGAAAAGCCAAGCAGAGAGTTCACTTTAAATATTGGCTTGTAGTTTATACAGTACAGAATTAGTTCCACTCTCCAAGAGCTCTACAATCTATATCCTGGAGATGCTGTTAGTGACTCCCATTCTTCACAATTTTTGTATTTGTTTGTTTAAAAGTAGTAGTTAAAAGCCTAATTTTAATATGATTTACAATACTTTTCTTGAAATATGGGTTTACAAAGTTTATAAGCCTGTATCACATAATCAATTTTCAAAATTTCATTTCTCTTTTCAACAGTGCATCCTTATTTTCTGCTTGAAGAGTTGGACTGTACTTTATAAGCTCTTGAGTCAAGAAATGTGACTTACTCATTAAAAAATATATTTGTACGTCCTGTGTAATTTTAGCTGTACTTTATAAACAGCTGCTTCTTGATATAGGTCCATTTCCTTTATATAATAAAAAATAATAAATCTGCACTTATTTTGCTGATTTAAGGTTTTTGTCCAAAAATTCAATAATGGCTTCTTCATCTGCTGAATGAAGGAGTCTCTGAATTAGCTGATCCAGACACTTCTCCCCACATAAAAATTCCTGGTAAAAGAGTTATTATAAAAACCTGATTACTAGAAAATAAAGGAGAAACAAAACAAAGAATTAAATGTGTATTTACTTTGTTTCTTTGCAGTCACTTTTTTTTTTTAGGATTTTATTTATTTATCTGACAGAGAGATCACAAGTAGACAGAGGCAGGCAGGGAGAGAAAGGGGGAAGCAGGCTCCCCGCCGAGCAGAGACCCCGATGTGGGGCTCGATCCCAGGACCCTGAGATCATGACCTGAACCGAAGGCAGAGTCACCCCCGTGCCCCACAGTCACTATTTAATAGCAACAACAGAACACTAAAATGGCTCTGTGACATAATGGGCAACTTTGCTAACTTGGGAGGATACCCAGTGATACTGGCTTCTCATAAAAAGTGAATCCAAAAGAGTAAATAGAATTCTACTCATTCTTTGTTTACATTATCATTTTGTTTAAAAATCAATCTTCTGGGAGTTGGATTTTTTCAACAGCTCTGGAGACAACAAAACAAAGGAGATCTGAATCTCTCTTTAAAATTCCTTTGCTTGAATGTTCCTGACAACAGGGTTCTAGGATCTCAAACCATCTTTGGGATGATATGTTTGCTGAATCCCTTCTCCTTTTGTTCCCTAGAAAAGATAAGGCTTTTTCACTCTTGTCCTGAAAATTCCACCCTTGTCATTCAAACATTATTTCCCAAGGGCAAAAAAACCTGAAATGCCTCACTCAAAGCCCCAGGCACCTTGCTGCCACTTGAACCTGCACACCTGAGCCCTGCTTATCTCTGCTCGCCATTCCTGGGACCATTCCTGTTTACATTTCTCATCCCAACCTTCAAATTTAGATTTTATTTAATCTCTAAGTGGGTTATACTAGTTGTATTTCTTCTTAAATTGGAAATATGGCAGTTTTAAAATATAGAAGCCCTGTGTGACCAAAAAAAGATATATGCCAAAATATTTAGGGGACAAGCATTTTGAGTGTGTACCTTGCTCCCAAATGGTTCACCAACAGCACAGGAGATGGAAGAGGAAGAGAAGGCAAATGTTCACAACGGCTGCATCTACATGTAGGGTGTATACTGAACCAGTCTTTAAACATATATACTTGAAATTTTCTAAATAGAAAGTTCAGAAAAATAAATGCTCTTATGTTTACCCCAAATAAGTCCACTGGGTGAAAAGTGTTGTTAGACTTCCCTGTAGTCTTCCCTACAGTTCATCTCTACAAGTCACTAAAATAACTTTGAGTACCTTTCCTGTGTCACAGAAGTTCTGAGTAACAGTTGTTGGGAACAGTGAATTAGCACAGTCTCATATTTTAGAAATGTTCAAAATCTAGACATTGGCTTAATGGAAATATTTCCATGTCAGCATCTGGAACACAGAACATTTAAAATTTTGATGTAGGCATGAACTTTTTTTTTTTTTTTAAGATTTTATTTACTGGGGCACCTGGGTGGCTCAGTGGGTTAAGCCTCTGCCTTCGGCTCAGGTCATGATTCCAGGGTCCTGGGATTGAGCCCTGCATCGGGCTCTCCGCTCAGCGGGGAGCCTGATTCCCTCTCTCTCTCTCTCTCTGCCTCTCTGCCTACTTGTGATCTCTGTCAAATAAATAAATAAAATCTTAAAAAAAAAAGATTTTATTTATTTTAGAGAGAAAGCAAGGAGAAGGGGCAGAGTGAGAGGGAGAGTCTTGAGCAGACTCTGTGCTCAGTGTGGACCAGCCTGATGCAAAGCTCCATCCCAGGACCCTAGGATCCTGATCCAAACCAAAACCAAGAGCCAGGAGCACAACTGACTGCAACACCCAGGTGCCCTTGTGTGAACTAAACATATATCTGGTCTTTCTTTGAACGGTCTTAAGGTTGAATTTTATTCTATTTTTTAAAAGATTTTATTTATTCATTTGCCAGAGAGAGAGCAAGAGAGAGCACAGAAGCAGGGGGAGCAGCAGAGGGAGAGGGAGAAGCACACTCCCCGCTGAGCAAGAAGCCCGACTCGGGGCTCAATCCCAAAACCCTGGGATCATGACCTGAGCAGAAGGTAGACACTTAACGGGCTAAGCCACTGAGGTGCCCCCTTACAGTTGAATTTTAGGTTAAGTATATACATTCATCTTTCAAGTTCAACTGTAGGGGAAAAGATGCCTTACTATCTTTGTATCCTACAAAACACCAGCATATATTAAAACCTCAACTAAACTTTAAAAGTAAAGAAAAAGCCCTATGATGAAGTTTTAAAATTAAAATTTATACCATTTTGAGCATAATATGGGGAACTGCTTATAAAATCAGCATGCCCAGAGCTCAAATTATCATGGTGTTGCCAAGGTGATTTCATCATTTGGAAATTATGTTAAAAGGATTATCACTCTTAACTGACAAACCACATTTAGAGTTTGATTGGAATAATCAGAGTGCCAGAGATACAAAGACCAAAGATGAAGGACTTGGGGAAGCTCATAATCTAGTGACAGAGCTAGGCACCACAACTAGCACAAGAAATTAAAAAAGAAGCAAGTGAAAGCCTGGGTGGCTCAGTGCGTTAAGCCTCTGCCTTCAGCTCGGGTCATGATCTCAGGGTCCTGGGATGGAGCCCCACATGGGGCTCTCTGCTCAGCGGGGAGCCTGTTTCCCCCTCTCTCTCTGCCTGCCTCTCTGCCTACTTGTGATCGCTCTCTCTGTCAAATAAATTACAAAATCTTAAAAAAAAAAAAAAAAAGCAAGTGAGGGCTGTAAGGTTAATTTTAAGAAGGTAGCATCAGGGAAGAGTTTAGGAAGGAAGAACAAGTTTGCATTAGATCTTAAAAACGGAATAGGTTTTTTTTCTCTCCAAATAGAGACAAGCAGAGCGTTTCAGTCAAAAGAATGAGGATGAAGTGAGGCACAGAGAAAATGTGCAAGCATAAAGGGCAAGGGGAGATTTTCACTTCAGGGAGGGATACAGGGCAGGAGATAGGCTGATGCTATGGAATCAGCACAAGGACTTTAAGAAACAATAGAAACATAAAACAATAGATTACAAGGTAGTCTGCACTTACGATCTAGATGAGTAAAAATAAAAATAAAATTACCTACACGAGAACCCACACTAAGAATATGAGGTGATCTCATAGAACCCAAGGATAGAAATGGAAAGGCTACTGCCACCGCCCTGGGAATGAAGCTGGCCACAGGAATAAACGAATGTGAGGACTGATATCAACAAGATTCTTTCCATCCAGTTCTATTTTTGATCCTTTCAATATCAGCTTCATCTCTTACTGAACACTGCCTTCTCCTCACGGCTTGGAAATGTGGCTTCTAACCTCTTATCTATTTTACATATTTCAGTTTCAGCCGAGAATGGCCCTCTTTGTCTCCAGTTTAAAAATGCTTGGAAGGAACTAACTCATTGGTGGGGGCTCTTTCAGATTTCCTCCCCAAACAAACCAATTATTGTCTTGAGTCAGGATCATGATCCTGTAAGAGCAGAGCAGCTTCATCACAAACTACGTAAATGGAGTAGGGAGACCTCAGGCTCTAAGACCTCAGCTGAGCTGAGCGGAGTCCCACAGACATCCACTTTCTTCCCTCTCCACTCCTTCCACTCTGACCTGTGGCTGTTGCCTCTGGGGTTAAGGCCCTTATCCCTTTTCCTGCCTCATCTATAACTATTCTGTTCCAAAGTTATTCACTCCAACAAGTCTCTTTATTGTCCTTCATACAGATTTTAATGTTTTACTACATTTTTTTTTTAATGACATTACCAAACTTTTCCATTTCACGAATATGGGATTTTTTTTCCCCTTCCAATGGGCTGCTTAGTCATTATGAGAGCACACAAATATAATTTCCCTAATTATTTCTAAATCTGGCATGTTAGTTTAGTTAGTAATAATATGTTAGCATGCAGGCCAAAGTCAGATATTTTATAACTATAAAAGCCACTTAACCTGCCACTGTTTCAAGACTGAATATTAACTCAGGACCTAAGGGCTAGTCTAAAAAATATTACCGGTCATAAGAATGCAGTCGTCTCAGGGAAAACCATCACCACTACCAGAAAAACAACTGAAAGAATATGGTGTAATCTGAATAATATGGCCAAACATGTTTGGTTATTACTGTGTGTTTCCTGAGGAAAGGGAAGTTAACAAATATTTTCTCCTTTTTGACAAGGCTATTATTTTCCTTTTTGAGACAGTCTTAAATTGCTAAGAAGACAGAGGAAGTGGCGTAAGATACACCGAAATTTCTAAACATTTTAAAAACACAGACATTGCCCTTATAAAATTAGGACTTTACTTTTGAGTACAGAATAGGACAGAATCAACTGAAAGAAGCCCTAGGTATCATATGACATCAAGGAAAAAAAAAAAATCAGATCCTTCTACCTCTTGCCTTTTGTACATAGTCCTTTATGAGAACCAGTTCATTTTCCCCTTCAGGGGAAACAAAAGGGGAATTTTCCTGTACTTCATCATTAATGTATTAATGCCAATGGTCTGGCTAAATGGGATCTAGTTAGGTTAATGTTCAAACCATGTTAACAGGGTCTTTCCCCAACAGCATAATTATAACTCCTGAAACTCATGAACAATTCATCGTGCTAGGCAGAACTCTAAGATGCCCCCTGGTGTACACACCTTGCAGAATTCCCTCCCTTACATGGAGGCAGAAGCTGTGAATATGATGGAATATCACTCTGGTGATATTAATCAGTTGATGTTGAGTCATTCAACATATTACCAGGGTGGGCCTGAGCTAAACAGGTGAGCCCTTAAAAAGGCTTGAGCCATTCCTGCAAGAGGTTCAAAGTGGGAGAAAGCGGGCCTGAGCTAAACAGGTGAGCCCTTAAAAAGGCTTGAGCCATTCCTGCAAGAGGTTCAAAGTGGGAGAAAGCGTACGGAGGGGCCACTTAGCAAGCAACCTGCTAGTGATCTTTAGGGCCCAAGGGCAGAGAACTCTGCTCTGCCTGCTAACCATAAGATAAGAAATATTACTTTAAGCCAAAAAGTTTGTGGTAATTCGTAACACAGCAATAGGAATCTGATACAGTGTATATATGTATACTGAATATACCTTAATACACTGTGATTGCACAGCAAAGAATTTGGAGTTCAAAGAGACCTGTTTCAAACTGACACTAAGACCCCATTTCTGACCAACAAACTAATATGAATGTTTGCCTATTTGGGGATACAACCTTAAACTGGCTTCATGATTTTAAGTTACTTGATAATATTTTAGATAGAACTCTCTAGAATATGAGTACACATTCTTTGAAAAGCAAAGGTACATAAAACATATTAAGTTATATTACCTTAATATCACGAACTTCGTATGCTATTCTGTGGTCAGTTACTCTATCCTGGGTGAAATTATATGTCCGAATTCTCTCTGACTGGGCTCTTGTTCCCACCTGTGCCACAACAAAAAAGTAATTCATATTTTAACTTTATAATTGCCTTTATTACAATGGGAAATATACTTATAAATGCCTTTTCTATTATAAAAGTTTCAGTTTTTTTAAAAGATTTTATTTTTTATTAGAGACAGCAAGAATGCCCTGGGTAGGGAGAGAGACAGAAGGAGAAACAGACATCTTGCTAAGCAGGGAGGCGATGCGGGGCTCGATCCCAGGACCCAGGGATCATGACTTGAGTCGAAGGCAGACTCTTAACTGACTGAGCCACCCAGTTTGTTTTTTTTAGGTCATATATACAAAGTGACAAGGAACAAGAATGGGTAGAACTTAAAGACTATAGCTTTGTAAGGTTATGGAATGAGTATTTCTTCGGTACTTTAAACTCCAAATATTTAAAACGAAATTATCTTTGCACCCCCATCAGTTCTTCCCCCTGGCTTCTATAAATGGCACCACCACATGTCCTTGGTTCCCAGTGGGCAACTCTGACATCCCACAACTTATGTAACATTTCACACGCACTTACTACATGCCAAGCTTTGACACAGACGTTGGGGGAGAAACCATTTTCAATTCATCATATTCTCTACCTGCCCATTCCCGCTGATTTTAAGGGTCTCTTGTTATAATCTGCCCTTTTCATTTCTATCATTCAAGGGCTCATGATTTTTCACCTTCCTTCCTGTAAAAATCACCTGATGAATCTTCCAAGTCTCTGCTTACAAGTATTGCCCTGCTTAGTCTACCTAAAACAGCTTTCTGATGAGTTTTCTTCTTTGATTTCTTCCTGTCTACTAAGCAGAGACAATTCAACTCAGCATTCAAGGCACTTCACAATGTAGCCAACTTTCCCAACATTATTTCTGAAAATTATGTGAACCACTATCATGCCACTTACTATACCATATCAAAATTATGGGCATGCCTGTTTACTCAGCTAAAATATCATCTCAAGCGATGCCCTTCCCACACACTCTATCATCCCCCTTTCCAGCTAGCAACACCTGAGATAGATTAATGTGCTCCTTTGAAACCCCTTACACTTGGAATCTTCTTCAGAGCACACTACAGTTTGCCTTATGCTATGGTTATTTGTATTCCAATCTCCTCATCTCTACTACCTCCCCAGCACACCTTCTCTCACTCACTTTCACATAAAAAAAAAAAAAAAAAAAGATTTATTTATTTGTCAGAGAGAGAGAGCATGCACACAAGCAGGGGGAGCAGGAGAGGGAGAAAAGCAGGCTTCCCGCTGAGCAAGGATCCTGATGTGGGACTCTATCCCGGTACCCTAGGATCCTGACCTGAGCCAAAGGCAGATGCTTAACCAACAGACCCACTGAGGTGTCCCTCACTATCACTTCTTAAGACTAAAAAAAGATATTTCGGTAACTTACTTTCTTTGCTCCTCAGGCAAATGATATGACACTAAATTAAATATGGCTGACCATCAGGAGAATTTTTTAAAATTAAAGACTAACCTCAGATATAACAAAGCAGGGATTATGGATTTTTAGAACATTCTTCAGGCCATCCATTCTGCAACCAGCCAGGTATAGAAACTACTATCCCAAAGTACCATATTAATGCCCAGGCTCCCACCCAAATCAATTATGTCAGACTCTTGGGGGCTGGGGCCTGAGGGATATACAAAGCTCTTCAGGAGATAAACGGAACCAGGGTTGAGAACATGACATAATGCCTTCCTTATAAAAGCTACTATATACATTAGTTGAAGCGAGAACTTCTCTAAGCATTAGAAATACCTACTAAAAAGTTTCACACAGATGGATAAGTTAATTGGGAGGCACGGAGGTCTTTTCTGGTGCTTGAAACCAGAAATTTCTGAGGAGGACACACACACACACACACACACACACAACTTACACCAGGCCGATCTTGAATTACTTATTTTTAAAATTACTGTGTGAAACATCTGGTACTAAAATGCCAAATAGCAAGTGAATCCCAATGTCTTTTATTAATTCAAATGTCACTCATGGGGAATTCTTAGTGTTTATGTTACCACTTATGTGCTAAGAAGCAATGGTTTGTTAATGGGCATTCCTATCTGCAAATGTATATACTGATGCAGGACAACAATCTAGGATTATCAGAGGATTAATATTCCATTAATCCCATCACTTTTGCTACTTGGAAGTTAGAATGTGGGTAAGGAGAGCCTGAAGGGCAAAAGTGTGAGAGCGGGACATCTTGCCTAAAAGAATAATTAATGATTAAGTTTATATAATTCATTGTCCTGAGAGGCCACAAAGTCTTCCAAATTTTGTGTAGCATACCCACCAGCAAACAACACAAACGCACAGTTATTCCACCTTCTCTTACAACCTTTCTCAAAGACCAACTTTACATTTTTTAGGATTTAAAATCCTATAATCTGTTTACTTAAAACAGTGACATTTATTCATTTTGCTTAGCATGTACCTACATATTTGAATAAATAATATTACACATTTATGAAGTACAAAATTCAGGAAGTATAAAAGTATATAGCGGACATAAATCTCTCTTCTACTCTTCTCCCCACATCCCATCAGTAACAATCATCATTACCAGTTTTTTACAGTGCCATTTACTTTTGATCCCATAGGGTTTTAGTAAAAGAGTATAGGTTTTTAAATAAAAAAATCTCAAAGTCCCTTAATTTCCAGGGAATTATTTTATCTTTTAACCTAATCTCCTCTCAAAGCAGGCATGACACAAACATTGGAGGGAAAAACTGGGAGATGATCCCGAGTTTATGCATATCTCATTGATTCATTTGCAAACTGGCACGTCCAAATTTAGCTATAACCAGTCTACATGCATGAAATTACTGCTTATTTACAAATAAGTACGTTTCCCTATGCTATAAGATAGTCCCATTTGATCAAGAACAAATGCTACATTTTCTACAGAAAATGATGACTTTTGTGCAGAGGTATTACTATTTTTATTTTAAGAAATCTCTACACCCAACACGGGACTCGAATTCCCAACCCCGGAGTCAAGAGTCACATGCTCTTCTCACTGAACCAGCCAGGTGCCCCACAGAGGTATCACACTGTGTAAGCCTTACCTGCAGTTTTCTAGTACTTTGTTGCTGACACTTGTCTTTCTCAATCATCTGCTGGTAGAGTCTAGCTCTCAACACACGCAAAGCTATTTCTTTATTTTTAATCTGTGATCGTTCTTGTTGGCATTCTACTACAAGCCCTGAAAAAGAACAAGGATCAGAGGTAAACTGTAGCTTCCAGAAGCCAGATTAAGACAGAACTGAGATGTCAATGATATCTCAATAAAACTGGGGAAAAAGATAGGCCTCAGGAACATTTTAAAGGGGGAAAGGCTAATCAGGAAAAGATCACAAAGGATTAAAAACAACTCAGACTTAGCATACTTTAGAAACTATACCTGAACCATGCTGATAAAAGCAGTAGATGGCTATTTCGATTCTGAGATCTGAAGGAGATATTTCAGATGAGAAGACTGGAAGCAGCTGCATCTACAGATGGTTACACATACTTTCATTTCCACAGCTCTGCCTCTCCCTCTCAGCTCATTCGGACAGTCAGCCCAACACAGAGTCTCACCCCCACACAGAGCTGCTCCATTCTCTGTTTTAGTGAAGGAGAACTCAGCTTTCCTTCCTTAACCACAAATTTGCACAGAGCTGATGTTTTAAAGACGACTTTCTAAAACCCAAGAGTCCATCAAGAGATGAATGGATAGGGGTGCGTGGGTGGCTCAGTCAGTGAAATGGCTCAGGTCATGATCCCAGGCGCACTGGGCTCCCCCTCAGAGGGGAGCCTGCCTCACTTTCTCTCACTCTCTCTCTGCTCTATCTCAAATAAATAAAATCTTTTAAAAACTAGATGAATGGATAAAGAAGATATGGGGTGTGTGTATGTATAGATATATATTTATAAATGCATATATTTAGGAGTTAAAATGGTGGAGGAGTAGAGGGATCCTGAGCTTGCCTCATCCCTCGAACACAGCTAGAAAAATATCAGATCATTCTGAGTGCCCAAGAAATTGATCTGAGGACTGAGAGCACAAAACGCACATCTACAGGTAGAAAAACAGCCACTTCACAGAAGGTAAGGGCTGTGGAGAGTTGATTTGGGAGAGAGAAAAGCTGGGGGTCCTGCGGAGGGGAGGGAGCCCTGATCGTGGGGAGAGGAGTGAGAGAGCAAGAGAAGCCAGCAGGCAGGGGACTGCACAAAAAAAACTATTCCCCAAAACCAGTGATTGGGAAAAGGAGAGGGGATGACTATTGCTAGTTTTTATAAGCAGCAGAGAGCCAAGTCTGAAGTTTTAGAAGACTGTGCCTTGGACGGGGCTGTGCCTGGGGGCGGGGGCGGGTTTAGTGCTGCTCTGTAGGAAAGGAGGGTGGAGACCTGGGAGTGGGCAGAGTGGTCTGGGCATCCCCTGGGTCACGTGGGTAGAAAGAACGCCTCATTTTGGAGTGCATCTGGGAATGGTGGCAGGGCCTTTCCGGAGACAGAAGAAGTACTGTCAGCGATGTGTGTCCCTGTTCCCTAATATAGGAAGAGAGACACCGGCTGAGGGCAACAAGCCTTGGTGCTGGCTTTTAGCTGCACTTTACCATAAACCACCGTGCGGTGTGTGACTGCTTTTCTGGGACAAACCAGCACCAGCCAGCGAGGTGAGACCTTCCCCCAAGAGGATGAGCGTGGGTCTGTGCCATGTGGATCCCTAAAATTTGGAGTTCTGAAACAGAGCCATGTGCCTGAGATAAGACACAGGAGTACTGTGCTGCCCCGTATGCAGATAGCTCAGACACAAATAGGGTGAACGCAGGGATCTGACAGAAGCGGGGGACACAAGAGGGGTGATGGTTTGCTCAGCTGGAAGCACTTCCTGAAGAGTGCTGGTGCGAACTCCCTGCTCCGGGAGAGAGAGGCTGGCAAAGCGATTTTCTCTCCTGCCCATTAGCGCTGACTCACTTCAGTGAGCAACATAGTGCCACCCAGTGGCGACTAAAGCAGCTTACACCACGCTCCCCCACCGCCTCACCGCCCTGCCGGTACATCTCCACTAGGGCAAGCTGGACTGCGAATCAGCACAGCAGGCCCCACTCCAGAAGACCAGCATGGACCCCTTACAGGCACCAAGTCTACTTCACATAGTGCTGCAAAGCTTCAGCTTTAGGGAAAACAGGATCTATCTTTTTTTTTTTTTTTAAAGATTTATTTATTTGACAGAGTAGTAGATATGAATAAAAAAATAAGACCCATCCATATGCTACCTATAAGACACTCATTTAATTTATTTATATATTTTTTAAAGATTTTATTTATTTATATAAAAGAGAGAGACAGTGAATGAGTGACAGACCACAAGCAAGGAGGAGGGGCAGAGGGAGAAGCAGACGCCCCTGCTGAGCAGGGAGCCTGGTGTGGGACTTGATCCTAAGAACCTGGGATAATGGCCTGAACTGAAGGCAGATGCTTAACCAACTGAGCCACCCAGGTGCCTTTTTCTTTTTTTTTTTTTTTTAATGATTTTATTTACTTATTTGAGAGAGAGAATGAGTGAGAGAGAGAAGAAACTCACTTTAGACCTAAAAACACTTGCACATTGAAAGTGAGGGGATAGAGAGCTATCTACCATGTTAATGGACCTCAAAAGAAAGCCAGAGTACACACTAAAGTTTAAACCAAAGACTGTAACAAAAGTTGAAGGAAGGCACTGTATCAACAAAGATGTCTATCCAACAAGAAGATCTAACAACTATAAATATTTATGCCCCCCACTTGGGAGCACCCAAATATAAATCAGTGAATAACAAACATAAAGAAACTCATTGATAATCATAAGTAATAGTAAGAGACATTTTAACACCCCACTCACGGCAATGGATGGGTCATCTAAGCAGAAGATCAACAAGGAAACAAGGGCTTTGAATGATTCAGATGACACACTGGACCAGATGGGACTTAACAGATACATTCAGAACATTCCATCCTAGAGCAACAGAATACACATTCTTTTCGAGTGCATATGGAACATTCTCCAAGACAGATCACACACTGGGTCATAAATCATGCCTCAATCAGTACAAGTAGATTGATAATACCATGCATCGTTTCTGACCACAATGTTATGAAACTTGAAGTCAACCACAAGAAAAAATTTGGACAGACCACAAATACATGTAGGTTAAAGAACATCCTACTAAGGAATGAATGGATTAACCAGGAAATTAAAGAAGATATTTTAAAAAAATACATGGAAGCAGGGGTGCCTCGGTGGCTTGGTCATTGAGTGTCTGCCTTCGGCTCGGGTCATGATCCTAGGGTCCTGGGATCGAGCGCTGCATTGGGCTCCCTGCTCGGTGGGAAGCCTGCTTCTCTCTCTCCCACTCCCCCTGATTGTGTTCCCTCTCTCGCTGTGTCTCTGTCAAATAAATAAATGAAATCTTTAAAAAAAAATACATGGAAGCAAATGAAATGAAAACATGACAGTCCAAAACCTTTGGGATGAAGCAGAGGAGGTCCTAAGAGGGAAATATACTGCAATACAGACCTGTCTCAAAAAGCAAGAAAAGTCTCAAATACACAACCTAACCTTACACTTGAAAGAGCTACAAAAGGAACAGCAAATAAAACCTAAAGCCGGCAGAAGAAAGGAAATAGTAAAATTAGAGAAGAATCAATATTGAAGCAAACAAACAAATAAACAAACAAAAAAACCAGCAGAATAGATGAAGGAAACTGGTTCTTTGAAGAGTTAATAAAATTGATAAGCCCCCACTTAGACTTAACAAAAAGAAAAGAGAAAGATCCCAAATAAAATCTTGAATGAAAGAGGAGAGATCACAAGCAACATCACAGAAATACAAACAATTATAGGAGAATATTATGAAAAATTATATGCCAATGAACTGGGCAATCTGGAAGAAATGGACAAATTCCTAGAAACATACAAACTACCAAAACTGAAATAAGAGGAAATAGAAAATTTGAACAGATCTATAACCAGTAACTAAACTGAATCAGGAATCAGAAAACTCCCAACAAGGGTCGCCTGGGTGGCTCAGTCAAATGTCTGCCTTCAGCTCAGTTGTGATCCCAGCGTCCTGGGATCGAGCCCCGAAGTGGGCTCCCTGCTCAGTGGGGAGCCTGCCTCTCCCTCTCCTTCTGCCCTGCTCCTCACTCATGCTCTCTCTCTTTCTCTCTCTCGCTCACTCTCAAACAAATAAAAATCTTAAAAAAAAAAAAAAAATCTCCCAACAAACAAGAGTCCAGGGACAGATGACTTCCCAGGGGATTTCTACCAGGCATTTAAAGAAGAATTAATACCTATTCTTCTGAAAGTGTTCCAAAAAATAGAAATGGAAGGAAAACTTTCAAACTCATTTTATGAGACCAGCACTACCTTAATCCCAAAACCAGACAGAGTACCCACTAAAAACGACAACTACAGGTCAATATCCCTGATGAACACGGATGAAAATTCTCAACAAGATAACTAGGAAATTGAATCCAAAGGTACATTAAAAGGCTTATTCACCATGACCAAGTGGGATTTATTCCTGGGCTGCAGGGGTGGGTAAATATCCACAAATCATCAATGTGATACACCACATTAATAAAAGAAAGGATAAGAACCATATGATCCCCTCAACAGATGCAGAAAAAAGGCATCTGACAAATACAGCATCCATTCTTGATAAAAACCATCAACAAAGTAGGTATAGAAGGAACATACCTCAAAATCATAAAGCCATATATGAAAGACCCACGGCTAGTATCATCCTCAATGGGGAAAAACTGAGAGGTTTTTATGTATGGTCAGAAACAAGACAAGGATGTCCACTCTCACCATTACTATTTAACATAGTACTGGAAATCTTAGCCACCACAATCAGACAACAAAAAGAAATAAAAGGTATCCAAACAGCAAGAAAGAAGTTAAACTTTGACTATTTGCAGACAATGTTATACTTTTATGTAGAAAACCTGAAAGACTACAAAAAATTTAGAACTGATACAGGAAAATTCAGCAAAGTCACAGGAATAAAAATCAATGCAGAGTCTGCTTCATTTCTATACACAATAATGAAGCATCAGAAAAAGAAATCAAGGAAGATTTCAAAAGAAATCAAAAAGAAATTCACAACTGCACCCAAAACCGTAAGATACTAGGAAGAAACCTAACCAAAGAGGTAAAAGATCTGTACTCTG